CATATTGGATGGGATTGATTGATGACCACGTGACTAATGACCTTTGTAATTGGCAGAGATGGAGCCGTCTTTGCTGAGCATGGAGAAGCTGGACCGTTCCAGCCCAGATCTTTGGCCAGAGCAAAGTAAGGAACATGTGGATGCCTCTGTGTTAATTATCGCTTGAGTAGGGAATGTCATGATAGAAACTAATTGTTATTGTTTGATATCTTGATACACAAGCATTTCCTAGCATAGGTTCGTACTGTATTTCTGATATGTTGTATTTATATACATTTCTCTATTTTGTGAGGAAGAAAAGGTTTCCATATATATTTGTGGTCTGAAGATTGAGGATTCGAAAAGCAAGCCATGATCTTTTTCTTTTGTGGTAAATGTGCAAAACCGTTTCAGTTCCAGGAGAGTATGACTATTACACCTCTGGTGTCACCCCAGCTGAGCCCAAACCCAGAGAATCTCGACCTTGAAGAGCAGGACTACAATCTCTTGTACCGTGAGTGCTTTCATTCTGTCTTTCATTGTTTTTATTGATGTTGTAATTGTTGTTCTTGTTGTTCTTGTTCTTTTTCTTCTTTATGTTTGAGAGGATTGGCTGAATGTATGTCAGAAGAGCTTCATTGTGCTGTATTTCAAGTAATTATTAGCTCCAACTTATAAAGCTTTTTTACTTAAAAGAAGATTATAAGATCTTTAAATAGTTGCTAATTCCATGCAGTTTAGTATGATAAATGTGTCATTGAATTGATAACTGATCTGCATGTACCAGAGCAGATGAAATCCTATGTATGTCAGGTGTTGCTTTTTGCAAGTGTATAGCCAGATAATAAGTCATTGATCTTTGCCTTTAGAAACTTGTGTAGAGAAGCCTTAGGCTCTGAGAATTTATAGAATGATAAATGGGGATATAGATACATTGATATATATATATATATATATATATATATATATATATATATATGTGTGTGTGTGTGTGTGTGTGTGTGTGTGTGTGTGTGTGTGTGTGTGTGTGTGTGTGTGTGTGTAGAAGATCTCTCTTGACAGCCCTAGGTAGGGTCCAGGCTGTTGTAACTTGTGTGTGGTAGTTTTATCAGTTTGCCAGAGCCATGACTCTTCCAGGTACTTTTACACAGGTGGACCCACTCCATCTTGATGAAAATCCTAGTTGGCAATTTCCAAGCTAACCCCTGCCTTGCTGCCTTCATTCATTGCAAATATTCAATATCTCTTTAATTTCTTTAGGTTTCTTTTTCAGCTTTTTTTTACCATTTTTAGTACTGAACCATTTTCAAAGAAAATATACGTAAATAACACTGGCGCTAAGGTATTTGACAAATTGTCTGGGTCAAAATGGGGTTTAGCGTCATTATGTTTAGCCTATGAGAGTGGGTTATAAGATATCAGATATAATTAGATGAATAATCATTAGTGTAATTTATTTGATATTTTTATAATTACCCCAAGTAAAACCAAAATTCCCCCTTTTATTTCTGATAATGAAGAGTTCCTTACCATTAACAGCTGTTAGAATACTCTTGGAAAAAAGTCAATTTCATATTTGGGTTAAATAGGATAAATGGAAAGGAACTACCTGGTTCTTTATACCTTGAGACTCTTGAGGTCATCCCACAAGCCTCCTTCACATAGGACCAAGGACCTGTTGCAAAGGGTTGATGCCCTTAGATGTCTGACATGATTGAGCGGCAGGGGTTAGAGGAAGTAGCTTGGGCACCAGGAGACCCAGTTACTCCTTGTCAAAAAAGGGCAGGATTCTTGCTGCCAGGGAAGTTCATTAGTTGATTTCCTGAAGTATGAATCACTTCATCAATATGAGTAAAAGTCTAGATGATGTTGATGTCCTTACCATGGATGCCTATCAAGGACTTCATCTTACTGGTAAATGTATCAAGAGCTGCCACTAGGATCTTTAAAGACTAGCAGAACAAATCTTTTTCATGTAGAGTCATTCAGGTAGAATAGAATTTGTTAAAATACAAAGTGAAACAAAGAAAACTAATTGAGAAATATCAGTGATCTAAAATTTACAGTGAGCATTGCCAATTAAGGTGATAGGGACTAAAATGACATAAGTAACTAAATATTTGCCTTTTATGATTATAAAGTATTAGAGATACTGTTTTTTTGTTTCTTCTTCTTTTCTTTTCTTTCCTTATTTAACATGACAAATGGGATGAAGAAGTGAGTTAACTTAATAATAGTATTTAACTTCATTACAAAATCTTAGACTTAATATAGTAAACATTTTGTTGAGGTAAGGTTAGTCAAAGATGTTATATGCTTATTCATAGTTAGTTCATATATAAGTGAAGGAGGTTTGTCAGCCTATTATAATATTTGGTAATTTCAGTTGGAGCTAAAATTCTCTTCTAATGAGATATACTACAGTCAAAATCTATTATGAATAGTCAGGGACTCTTGCATAGTGCATATATCCTGTAATGTTAGAATTTCAAAGTGTTATAATGACCTGTTAAATTCAGCTAATTTTTGTAGATTTGCGTAATGTAAAAGGAGGATGTTGTAAAATATTTTGGGGACAATACCTATGTGGCGAATTCAGTTCTTGTTAATGATTTGTTTTGTTTACATGTCTGCCATGAGAGTCCATACTAAAAGTTGTAAAGAAGATGAGAGAGAGAGAGAGAGAGAGAGAGAGAGAGAGAGAGAGAGAGAGAGAGAGAGAGAGAGAGAGAGAGATGGAAATAATTTAGTTAAGTTAGAGTACCTGTACAGAATTAAGAATTATTAGGACCTTGGATAAAAATTGTAAGCTCTAAAAAGTCTGAAAAGTTCCCTCCACCCATGAACTGATTTACTTGAAGAAAAGTGTTTATGCTGATAAAAGTTAGTGAGTATAATCATGCCATCTTACCTTTGATAATGATTTGCAAGTGGTACAAGTGAGGTGATATATCATGCAAAGAATTTCCATGTATGTTGTCTAACCCTAGTTTGAAGGCTTGGAAGTAAAGAAGAGAACACACAAATTAGATGTAAAGAAAGGAAGAGTACAAGCATTGCGATGTATGCATATGTATTACTAGGAATAATTATGAAAACTAACTTTGCATCTTTCATACCAGAGTTCCGGTTACTGACGGCTCTAGAAATCATTGAAGAAGTGAAGAAGCTCCAAAATGTGGCTTACCAGCTTGGCTTAGAGGAGGCAAAGGAAATGACATGTGGAAAATACCTTCACATTCTCAGCAGGAAATAGAAATGACGTGGAAGCGAGAGGAACCAGGAGGTCTTGGGATATCAGCAAATTGTTGATGAAATGAGTGAAAAACAAGAAGGTAATGATTGAGTACAAGAAGGACACAAGATAAAAGCTTTCCTTTTTACAATGGTTTGTGATATGTTGAATCGCCTCATCCCTTTGCAATCCATTAATTCCTGTATCAGGAATAAAAGGGCAGGGTGATGATACTAAACTTTCTATAGCTTTGCATATTTTCTGTAGCCTTCCTTCCAGTGATAGTTGGTTACTAATAGAGTGTAGTAGTTTTCATGTGGATTTCTCTTATGCATTTTGATGTCATATCTAGTAAATTGTTTTGGGTGGAGAAAATTGCACCCTTTACAGATTTTATTATTGACTTTGTAAATTAGGTCAAAATATTGTAGATTAGGACAGAGTAGATTTGATTTACGGATATTGATTTTTTAAAAACTAATATATTCATTTAAATCTGTGCTCTATTAAAAAGTAATAACATGATAGAGAAAATGGTGATTATTAAAGATATTTATAGTTACTGTCAGTCAGTCATGAAATATAATCACACTTCATCATAGAAGATCAGTTTGATAATAAGTTTGCAGTGTGGCTTGGTAGTTCCTGGTTTCATCTCTGTCTATGGAGAAAATCTTAAATATTTTTTTTCTGTAAGCTATTATTCATAAATTGGTATTTATGTTTTAAATATGTTAGAACCTTTAAGGAAAGTGTAATACATTTTACATTCTCTGTTACAAGTAAATCACAGTTTGGTAAAACACCGAGATAGATTGTTTTGAATCTGTATTTGCGAGACTTGTCTTGCAAAAGTATGTTTTATAAAGTGTTCAAACATAATTGGACATTCAAACAGATATTCATATTGTTTATATTAATATATATTTTTCTTCTTTATCTTTCCTTTTAGTCTTTGTACTTATTATAATAAATTATTTTTCATTCTCTTTTCCTGTTGGTAGTACTATAGAGTCAAAGTCTCTTTATTATCATTTAAATTTTTTGTTCATTTGCCACATGCCAGATAGTCATATAAGTGTGAACACTTGCATTAACTCATGTCCTTCCCAGTCTAAGAAGTAACAGGTACCAATAAAAGTCACTTTTATTAAAGCTGTTTACTATCCATACAATGTGCAGTTGTAAGGATGAAAATGTATATCACATTTCTACATATTTTTAAATGATACATAGTATTTACACAGAGATGACAAGAGTAGTACTGATCTTAGAGATTTTGTCAACAGCAGGTGTAAATATTAGTTTGCTGGCTCATGAGGCATAGGTATTTACATGGTACAAATTATGAAGACAAGCAAAGATACTATAGAAATAAATATATAAGTTTAGTTTCTGTTTCACTTGTTCCTACATTTTAATGATTGATTACCTCTGGTGTGGGATGCCAGTTTTCATTTATTTTTTCTCCAAAGCAAGAACAGGACAACCCTCATCATAGAACACTGATATATCTCTGAATAATTAGGGCTTATGGATAATATTTCTTATCTGTACAAACGTATTATGAGTCAAACATTTACAGCACTTAATTATAGCTTTATGCAGTTGTAATCAACATGACATTACAGTTACCTGTCTCATTTCTTTGGCTTATTGTATTCCTTTGAGGGAATACATTTATAATTAAACTGGTGATATATATATATATATATATATATATATATATATATATATATATATATATATATATATATATATATATATATATATATATATATATATAACTAGGACACATTTATACAGTCTATCAAAAAATTTGCATTCATCCTTCAGCTACATCTGGCATCTGTTACGTCTTCAGATCCTCAGGCAGTTCATCCTCATTCTTCAAATTTATCAAGGTCATCAAAAGACTTAGTCTTGTGGGCTCTGAGGAAAAAGAAAATTTTTTGGATTATTTTTTTTGTAGGACTGAATATTTAAGTTTGTTACCTTATGCATTTAAAATGGATATACCCTAAATATTTTAAGATCCTAAATTCTGGTATAAGAATGTTCTCCATTCTAGAAAGTCATGAAAAGCAAAGCTTGGTATATTTTGTAATATAATTGATTCACATATATTAGTTTTCCTCAAACCTATTCACCGTTTATATCTTGGGAAAATCTTACCCACTTACCTTTTCTTTGAAGTTGCACGACGGCCCACATGCAGCACGACTTTGCCAGTGCGGATGGCTTTGAACATGGCAATGGCTTCTGCATGACTTGCCCCTGCCAAGCTCTCTCCATTCACTGCAAAAATCTCATCCCCTGCAAGAAAGAAGATAGGTTTACTTATTCAGTCTTATTCAGCTTGTTTGTTCCACCACTAAGTATGATGAGGAAGTTAATTAGAGGGTAAATCCACAGAAAATTATGCAATTATCATTTACCTGAATCTGAAATTCACCCTTATGATTCCTTAAGGCTTATATGCATACATCAGTTTGTAATTTTATTGAAGAAGCCATACCTTCTTTAAGTGTTCCTTCTTCCGCTGCTTGACCACTTGGGAAGATTGTCTTTACGAAGATGCCAATGTTCCCTTTGGGGGAGTCCCTTCCTCCTACAATAGAGAATCCAAGCCCCTTCTTGCCATGGCCCTTTTCAAAGACAACTGTGTGGAAGGAGAGGTTGAGGGACTTTGGTCTTCGAGGCAGTGTAGATGTGGATGATGGCCTGTGTGACCTCTGGGATACCTGTTGAGAAGTAAGATTTTATTAATAATTGGTTACTGGTTACTTGTAGTATTTACCTTCTTTTTTGCTACGAGTATTCTCAAGGGAGTTTAAGGGTAAAACCAACAGCTATACAACCTATAAAATGAAAACAAATATTCAAAAAACATTTTATCCTTAAAATGTACTGCTCTTTTATATGCTGTACACTATGCTGGACGTGTTTTAGCAACTTCTAGAGTGAAAGACTTCTCACCTGTCTGGACATGGCAGTGAGACCAGTGCCATGAACAGATGCGACAGACGCCATGGAAGTGACTGTCCTAGCTGAGACTTGCGAGGCCTGAGAGGACGGGCGCTCATCAAAAACCCCGTCCTCAAGGAGAGGTAACAACCGACGAGGCTCTTCTTCTCCAGCTGTAAGATCAAGGGAATGTCAGTCACAACTGTTATGCTTTGATACAACCCCTTATATATAGGGCAATATTTGTATATATAAACAATGAATAAACCAGGAATGAACTGTAAGCAGAAAGAAGACCGTATAAGCCCTTCGTCACACCCAGGCTGATGACTGGTCTGTGGCTCTCACCCGAAGAAGAGTCGGACACAGTGCGGACCATAACGGCGGTGACGACACCCTCCTCTCGGAGCGAATCCAACCGCCGCCGCTTTCTGGGGTCCCTTGGCTCCCTGGTAGCTCCCCGCGAATCACACGAGTTGTATGTCCTCGCCTCGTGCTCGCAGCAGTGGTGGAAGTCGCGCGCGCTCCCTGGCTCCTCGGGAAGCTCGCGGGTGCTGCTGGCGCTGGGCGGGAGCTCGGGGAGATCGCGGTGACAGGCCCGTTGGCTGCGGCAGGACTCCAGGTGGCGGCCCAAGTCACGCATATTGAGAGGGTCGTCTTCTCGAGGCTCGTCTCTCTCTAAGTCCTCGTCTTCCTCGTCCTCGTCCTCGTCCTCTTCTCTGTGACCGTGGTCGTGGTGGCAGCCGTGGTGGAAGGCGTGCGATTGGTAGTGATGGTGCGGGTGGTGGAGCGCGTCCAGAGAAGCGTCGTCGTCGTCGGCCACGCTGTCCACCCTCGAGTCCACGCGCGTCTCCACTCGGGAGTCCACTCGCCCGCTGGTCATGGAGGTCACGTCCAGGTCCGAGTAGAGGGACTCGTGGGCGGGGGCGTCGGGGTCCCGAGCCACAACGACGTCTACCTCTGTGGGCGTATGCCGCAGAATGCGACGCGCTTCCTCCAGGGTGACGCCGCGCAGACGTCGACCGTTGACGTTGATGATCTCGTCTCCCACACGTAGTCTGCCGTCTCTGTTGGGAAAACAAACGGGTAACGTGAGCAAACCGACTTTCAGATTCGACATACCTTACCACAAAATTTCACGCACGCGCGAGCGCGCACACACACTCACACGCACACACACACACACACGCACACACACGCACACACACACACACGCACACACACGCACACGCGCGCGCGCGCGCGCAAACTCTAATACGAATGACTATGTATACAAACAAGACCAAAAAGAGACCACAATACGATAGTTTCTGAACAAAGATCTCGTCGCAGACACTGGGAGGAAGTGTATCTTTTGTCACTTCATCATCCAGACAACCTCAAGAACAGTATTACAAGCAGCACCACGTGTGTCGGTGGTCACTTAAAGTAGTTATTACATCACCCGTGATGTAACACCATAAGATTACACTAAATAGTTTATATACCCTTTATACAAAGCAGCACACACACAAAGTGCAGCGACTGGATAACCGCATGACATGTGAGTAGCTTCAGTTATGTTAATACGATAAAAAAAAATCAGAGCTAGGATGTTATGTGCTTTGAAAGGTAAAGCCATTGTAACATGGTAATGTCAAACTTACACAAAAAGCAAAAAATCAACCTGACCTAACCTCTGTTCCTAAAATGTTAAACAAGAATAAAAAAAAGAATATGACATGGTATGCTACAATGATTTAATTCTTGACAAAAAAAAAGGAAAAAAGAAAACAAAAGAAAAAAAACGACCGCAACATTTGTAAACTAAAGGCATCTTCCGTGCACATCATTAAAGTTAAAATATACAGTACTTGCACAGAAGATGCAAGACACACTGCCGGGCGCACGAGTCAATGCGATTATTGGTAAATCTGCTGTTCTACATGAAAAAGCGGGTATCTGTGTAATGGCAATTAACATTCGCCCTCCACAAGTTCCATATTACACGCTAATGTCGATACGGAAAAGTTTGCGACAGAGGAAAAAATATACATATACACATATCTGCAGTTTAAATATCCCACGTATTACTTATAGAAATATATGTTGATGAATTTTCACATCTTTAACATGACAATGTCAAAATTTATTTCGGTATTCCTTATTTATAGATATCAATGACAACTCATCTCTTATCTTTCCTATGGAGTTGATGACATCATACCATATCAATATATGATAGGTTGGATTAACCCGTTCTGCTCATGTGTAGCATTAAGATTCGAGCTCAAAAGTAAAGCCGGAGGTGAATTAAATTTAATCCTGGACGCTGCCATTGCATATGCACATTAGAGACCTGGTTTAAACATTAATATTGGATTAACTATTATGACACGCATGGAAGACGCAAGAGGGATCTTGCACTCCACCTGGAAGATCAGTAGAGGAAACTGTAGCATTATATGTTCACGGACGGAATCAAACAGGCATCAGCAGATATGATCCTACAGAATTCTGCTCGATTCTGGTAATATGTGTTAAATGTGTACACGTTATTGTGTTTGTGTTCGTCGTGGAAGAATAAGCCTGCTTGTCCATGAGTGCCACAATATCTACGCTGTATTATGGGTTTCACTCGAGCAGAAATCATAAAGGGTCCAGTAGAATGAGTATCTGAATATTCATACAGAACCTCGCACACGTCACCTCGATGCTTGCCCTTTCCCCCACCCTTCCCCCGGGTTCTCCCTTTTCCTCCACCCTTCCCTCGGGTCCTCCCTTTCCCTCCACCCTTCCCTCGGGTCCTCCCTTTACCCCCACCTTTCCCCCGGGTTCTCCCTTTCCCTCCACCCTTCCCTCGGGCCCTCCCTTTCCCTCCACCTTTCCCCCGGGTCCTCCCTTTCCCTCCACCCTTCCCCCGGGTCCTCCTTTTCCCCCCACCTCTCCTCCGGGTCCTCCCTTCCCCCCCACCCCACCCTTCCTCCGAGCCCTCCCTTTCCCCCACTCCTTCCTCCGATCCTTCCTTGCTCCCTCCACCTCCCCTCCTTCCACCTATCCCACCTCTACCGTACCCGCCCATCTTCACCGCCCGCCCATCCGTCCCTAGTGCCACCCCCTCACGTGACGGCGGCGTGATGTGCCACTGCCTCATGACGTCCAGTGCGGTGTGTGTTGCGGCTGCGCGATGGCGTATGGGAAAGCGCGATTCACGGGGAGGCAGCAGAAGGGTTGGCTGAAGAGGGTGCGGTGTATGGAGTGGTTATGGTAATACGTGCTAATGTGCGGCCAGGAAGCATATTATGTCGGTTTACAGGTACGGGGAATGGTGATGGAGTATGGGCTTGTCAGTATGATGCTGAACCCCAAAAAATGGATTTTATCTCGCAAGAAGAAGAGATACATACAGTAACTAGGTCTGTAGATATCCATATATATAAACAAACACACACAAGCAAACAAATACACATATGCATATTTCTATCTAAATCTATATCTACCTATATATCTATATCTATATCTATATATCTATATATATCTATATATCTATATATATATATATATATATATATATATATATATATATATATATATATATATATATATATATATATATATATATAGATAGATAGATAGATAGATAGATAGATAAGCATGTGTGTGTGTGTGTGTGTGTGTGTGTGTGTGTATGCGTGCGTGTGCGTTTACATATTTACATACGTACAGACCTAATTACTGTATGTAATTCATCACTCGTATATTCCTCCGTGAGCCATTTTCCTGAAGGGCCGACGGCGCGTCCATACGGCGAGCGCGCCTTTGCTTTTAAGAAATGTGGTTAGCATTACCGTTCTTCACAACCATCAAACGTCATCTTAGGAAACCTCTCAAAGGGCTGTCATTAACCTGTCGTGTCTACTTCGAAGGGAATCTATTATACCATCACGTAAACAGGTCAGCTGATAAATAGGGCTATATATATGTATATATGTATGTATATGTATGTGTGTATGTATATATGTATATATATATATATATATATATATATATATATATATATATATATATATATATATATATATATATATATATTACACACACACACACACACACACACACACACACACACACACACACACACACACACACACACACACACACACACACACACACACACACACACACACACACACACACACCTATTTTTAGAACCTCTAAAAAAATAGATTCCGCTGAAGACTGGAATAAACCTCTAACCTGCTGGGAGCTGCTATGGCGGAAGCAGGAAGAACTTAGATAAACCACCACAAAAAAAAAAGAAAGAAAAAAATATATCTCCGGATTTCACCGTGGGGAGGGAGGGAGGGAAGGAGGAAGGAGAGTAGTGGGTAGGGAGGTTAGTAGGGGGTATGGTTTGGGGTGTTGGGGGAGAGGGGGGGGTGTAAGCAACCTTCCGGGCCTAAGATGATGTGATTACAGGTTTACAAGACACGTTTGCGTCACTCCCACACCCACGCGCCCGAAGTACACGCGGAATACCAGACTTGGGTATCACATGCCAGTGCACAGCATGGGCGTAGATATTCTTGCACAAGGTCAGAAGTTGACTGGCATTTAACCGTGCAACCCACAGACTCATTCGCTTACCTAGCCTACTCTCTCGTTGGGTCAATGTAAGCCTCTCTATATCTCAGACGGTCAAGCTAGGCCTATATTTATACCAACTTTTCAGCCTTTCAACACAGGCCTATACTCCCAACGCCCCTTCTCCCTCAGAGGCGAAGCGAAACGAACCCTAAAGAATTTGCCATCAGACCTCAAGCAAAAGGACACGTCGGCAAGGGCAGTAGCGCTCCTGAGTATCCTTAATGAGAGGGGCCGGCGGGACACAGACGGAGCGCACCTGTAGTCTTTAATTGCTCGCCGCGGCAGGTAAGTGGCGGGTGGGGGGGGCACGTCCTCCACACAAGGTTCCTCGGGCCAACTCCACCGCAAAAACTGGCGCCTCCCTTCCGGTGTGTGTTTGTACGTTTGTGTGTTTGTGTTGGCACGTTTGTGCGTTTGTGCATCTGTGTTCGTGTCTGTACGTTTTTGTGTATGTATTTGTGCATTTGTGTTAGTACGTTTGTGTGCTTCTGCATTCGTGTGTTAGTGTTAGAACGTTTGTGTGTTTGTACATTTGTGTGTTTGTGTTGGTACGTTTGTGTATTTGTGCATTTGTGTGTTTCTGTTAGCATGTTTGTGCGTTTATTCACCTGTTTGTTGCGTTTGTATATTCGTCAAGACAGTTTCGAATAAAACGGTAGCGTATCAGGTGTTAATTAATGACCCGAGGGAGAGACACCGACGCTTTCAAAGGAAAAAAAATAAAGAACAGGAAATAGCCCAAATGGCATGATTGCAACACGACGCTTGGAAAGCATCGGGTTAAACGCAACGGGCGGGACGAGTGGACGGCGCATAGATCTTGTGTTTCCTAATTCTTTATGTTTGTTTTTCCTGTAACGGACGAAGAGCATTTGAGACGAGGCCTGTACAAACACCGACTGTTTCTTATGATAACAGGCGCCCTAACAAGCATAAACACCACGCGCTGTTTTCATACACACTTTTATAAAACTCTCTTTCTCTCTCCTCTCTCTCTCTCTCTCTCTCTCTCTCTCTCTCTCTCTCTCTCTCTCTCTCTCTCTCTCTCTCTCTTTTCCTTCTTCTCCTCCTTCTTTTCCTTCTCCTTCTTCTTTTGCTTCTTCTCCTCCTTCTTTTCCTTCACCTTCTCCTCGCCTTCCCCTTCTTCTCTCTTTCTTTTCCTTCTTCCCATCCTGCTTTTCCTTCTTCCTATCTTTCTTTCCCTTCTTCCTATCTTTCTTTTCCTTCTTCCTTCCTTTCCTTTCCTTCTTCTCCTCTTCTATTCTTTATTCTCTCCTTCTTTTCCTTGTTCTTTACCCTTCAATCTCCCTCTGCTCACCCCCATCTTCGTGCACGTCTGCATTTGCATATTCGTGTTGGTATTTATATGTATGTGTAATATATATATACGGTCTCTCTCTCTCTCTCTCTCTCTCTCTCTCTCTCTCTCTCTCTCTCTCTC